TCTTGAGATAACCAATCAGGATAAAAATTTTGTTCCACACAAAATTTGCAGTTCCTGTTACACAATGTTAACTCGTTGGAATCATAAAAAAGAGGATAAACTAAAGTTTATAAAGCCAACTTTGTGGGAAAACCCATTAAATCAAAAAGATTGTTATTTTTGCAACACCAATGTGCAAGGATATAATAACAAAAATAAAAAGAACATATTGTATGCTAATGTCCCCACTGTAAAAAAACCAGAAATTTCATGCAATCCACCTTCTTCTCCCAAAACCTTGGAAATTGACAGTTCAACTGAAGATGTTCTAGATTTTGAAAATAAAGACATGAGAACCGATGATGAGGACGACTATTACCTTCCGTATGATGAACAGGAGATAAAGATTCGACAAACGTTTAACCAAGAAGAACTTAGCAATCTCATTAGAGATTTAAAATTGCCGAAGGATTGTGCAGAACACCTAGCATCAGTGTTGAAAAAGAAAAACTTGTTATCAAAAGGCACAACAGCTAGCTTTTATCGAGACAGAGAAAAAGAATTCCGACAATATTTTACAAAAGATGAAAATCCGTCGTTGGTATATTGCTCAGATGTTGTCGGACTCATGAATAAATTAAAAACAAATATATACAAAGATGAAAATTGGAGACTATTTATTGACTCTTCGAAAAGAAGTTTAAAAGTAGTACTACTACATAATACTAATATTTATGCTCCAATTCCAATAGCGCATTCAACGGAAATAAAAGAAAACTATGAATATATGAAACTAGTTTTGGATAAAATTAGATACCGAGAACACAACTGGCAAATTTGTGGAGATTTTAAGCATACTACTTGGACAACAATCAGGTTTTACAAAAACACCATGTTTCCTGTGTTTGTGGGACAGTAGAGATCGAGCAAATCACTACATTAAAAAACAATGGCCAAAAAGAAATTCTTTCGAACCAGGTTCAAAAAATATAATAGAAAATCCTCTAATCGACCCTTCAAAGGTGATAATTCCATCCTTACACACGAAACTGGGAGGAATGAAACAATTTGTCAAAACCTTAGATAAAGAAGGAAACTGTTTTAAATACCTGGAAAGCCGCATGGCTTAGTTTCAAAGCAGTTGTCGAAAATTTTCTGGGTAATCACAAGAGTGAAAATTGGGAGCAAATAGTTAGTGATATGATTAAAAATTTTGGTAAGTTAGGATGCTTAATGAGCATAAAGATGCATTACTTAGACTCGCATTGGGATCGATTCCCTGAAAATTTGGGAGATTACAGTGAAGAACAAGGAGAACGATTCCATCAAGATCTTAAAGAATTTGAGCGTCGTTATCAAGGAAGATGGGATGTAAATATGATGTCCGACTACTGTTGGATGCTGAAAAGGGATATTGTACCTGGAGGCACCAATTTGAAACGAAAACCATTACACAGATCCTTTGAGGACAAAAGAGTGCGCTACCATAAAAGGACGTGAATACCTTACTTATGTATATAAGAATTTCCATTTCGAGTTTTGAAAATCTAACTTCAAATTCGTAATCAGCGACCCAAAAAACCCCTAGATACCAAGTTTGAAGCAAATCTATCAATTTTTAAAAAATTCGTCCGCCATATTGGATCCGCCATTTTGAATTTTGAAAATCTAACTTCAAATTCGTCATCAGCGACCCAAAAAAACCCCTAGTTACCAAGTTTGAAGTAAATCCATTAACTTTTAAAAAATTCGTCCGCCATATTGGAGCCGCAATTTTGAATTTTGAAAATCTAACTTCAAATTTGTCATCAGCGACCCAAAAAACCCCTAGTTACCAAGTTTGAAGTAAATCCATTAATTTAAGAAAAAATAGCCTACCTCTCAAAATCCGACAGATTTTTTGAGGTTAGAAAAAAATCCTGACGTGATGGAGCAAAACGGACTTCGGATTCGTGTTCAGCGCGTCAAAATACATAGGAAATGACTAGTCTGGTCTGCCGCGCACAACACTTTTTTTTTGTGGGGCTGTGTTATTTATGTATTTTCATGTGTAAATTTTAGGAATAATATAGCAAAAATATTTAGAGTTGATCTTTATATGGTTCTCAACGAAAAAATTGATATTTTTGAAAATGTAGTAAAAAAAGTGTGTACTCATCCTTATGGCGGTTACAATTCTTGACCTAGTGGACTGCAGATTTATATTCGTATATATTTTTATATTTAGACTTCAAGAAAAATTCAGTACTGGTACGGAACCCGCGGTTTTAGTACGAGTTCAACTCGCACTTGTCCGGTTTTTTAATGTAAATGGGTCAATAAAGACCTTATCAGAATTAATTTCAATATTGTCAAAAATTAGATTAGGTTTGTACCAAACTTTCAAGTTATTCAAAGTCTACTTCATAATACAAAGAGTGAACATTATTGTCCATATTAGGTTTTAGTCAATAAAGTTGTTATAAGAAAGGCATGTATTTTTACAAAATTCTATTAAAATTGAACATGAAAATAAATTCAAATAAATTTTAAATTACATTTAAAAAAATTTCAAAAAATCAAAATGTAATTAAATCAAGATGTTGTAAATCAGTTTTGAAAAAGGTATGAATTCTAACATAATTTATTTTATTTTGAAAATGCGTGGTAGATAAGGTGGTACCCTCTATTTTGTATACTCGCTGGAAAATTTTAGAAGAAAATGCGGGAAAGAGTCTAAATCGCGCTAAAGTTAAGAAAGAGTAGGGACTGTAGGGCGAGTTATTGATAAGCTCTTGACGACGACACAAGTGTGTCTGTAATTTCTGTGAAATTAAAATAAAGTATTGTGACATAGTGACTCCACTCTAATTTTATGTGTCTTTTTATTTTGCCCTTTGAATTTAACACAAGATGTAACAAAGTAAGAAACACCCGCGCTTTCGTACAGGATACATCTGCACGCAGACTTCTTTTATTAAAATAGGCTGAAATATTTGACCTTATTGTAAGTGCAGCACAGTGGGTTAGGAGGCGATAAAAAGCTGTAAAAAGTCCATTGTCAAATTCGTTGCTTTGAACTCAATAAAGTCAATCTATAGTTTGTAATGTAACTTTTTGTAAAAAATTGTAATTGATTAAATATATTACCGTATGCATTATATTTTTTTCAAAAATGTCATGAAGAAATTTCAAATGCGGTACACACGATAATATTTATTTCTTAAATTAATTAATTTTCTGACTTGTAACCTGTATTTCTTTATTATAAGATGTAAAACATTGAAAAAATTGAAGAAAAATTTTTTATAAAAAATAAAGCACATCGACGCCTCCCGTCAATATAGTGTTTATTCGAACGCAAGTGCAATAAAGCGTTAATTCAAAAATTGTGCTATATGGTTTCTATTCAATTGTTTGTCTAATATAGTCTTAATTCACATTGATTTCAAAAAAGGGTTAATTTAATTTTAAAAAGTTCATATATTCAAACAATTGTGCAATATAATTTTATCAATTCATTGTAATTTTTTTTACAAAATATAATAGAAAAATGAAAATATTGCAGATCTGTAATTTGGAATTAAAAATTAAATTTACCCTTTAATGAACTCAACGTGAATTGAGATTATATTACACAAACAAATGAATAGGCACCATATAGCACAATTTTCTGAATTAACACTTTATTGCACTGGCGTTCGAATAAAAACTACATTGACGGGGGGCGTCGACATTTTATATTGTAAAATTTTCCTTTTTTCGTAATTTACTTGATATTGTTTGATAGTTCTCCTAACTTCCGCATTATATTCTATAAACTAAACATGAAATCTCTTCTAAATTTAAAGTAGGGGAGACTGGGGTAAACCCGCGCACAGGGTAAACCCGCTCACTAGCGATTTAACGCGATGAACTCAACTTAAGATGGAGATATTGATACTGTGAATAGTACTTACCATCCAACTTATATTAACGAACTTTCGTTTAGTTTCATGAATTCACCATAGAATCAGAGACGATCAAATGTTTTTAGAGGTGTCAGAAAAAAAACGTATTTTGGATTTTTAAGTTTTTCGATCATTATTTTTGAGTATTAATTTATCTATTAATTTATTCTGAAATGTGAGGAATACACTCGGGGTAAAGTCGCTCACGTGAAGTCGGGGTAAACCCGCTCACTTAGTTTTTAATTTAAAATTTAGAATAAAATAATTTCACGTATTATATTTCAACAATAACACAATTTATGACTTATTAAAACCAAAATTGTAACTACATTTCACTTTCTCTTAATAAAATATAACACTATTTTTAAATCCATAGTTGTAATTCATGAAATCTATGTTCATTATTTATTAAACCAATTTGTTGTTTATAGAAATGTTTATATAACTCATAAATTATCAATAATAAATCATACTTAAGACGGGAATAAGACGAATTTTAATATTTAAAAAATAAAACTGTTTCGTCTTGAAAAGATAAAGTGAGCGGGTTTACCCTGGAAAATTGTGATTTCGAAATTTGGTATATGTGTATTAAAAAGTTTCTCTAAGTAAAACTAAAAAAGATAAATCAAAAACTCTTTTTTATTTTTTTAGTAGAAATCATAAGCTTTCAAATGATATAAATTAACTTGGATTTAGAGAATAATTTCCTAGATTTTTACCGATCTGAAAAAAAGTGAGCGGGTTTACCCCAGTCTCCCCTACTATTAGATTAAACTTGTATTTAACAAAGTTATAATAATGTTTGAACATTTTTATCCATTATTTCTAATACGAACAGATCTTACTCTAGGCATGTGGTAGCTCTTTTTTATCTTCTTGCTCTTTATGATCTTTTCGATTGTTATTTTTTAAAAAAACGTCACACTTTATTTTACTGTCTTGGTTAAAAAAAAGTTAAAATTATAACAGACTTAATTTAAACCGATGTTAAGTAAGATTCAATTTGATTTAATTTATTATTTAATTTAATTTATTTATTCATTTATTTAATTTAAAATAAATATTATTTATTTTTTTGAGAGAACATCGTCTGTTTAACAAATTTTTATTGAAATTATTATATGGGAATGTTAAATTTAAATCTGACCTCAAGATTTGAAAATTCAGAATGGTGGATCCAAAATTATGTCCAACATTATTTTTGGTCTGTGATCAGATTTAAATTCAATGACCTAAAAACCCTTACATTAAGTTTTAAAAGTTAAAACCATAAAAATATAATACGAAAGTTTGGTATGATACTTTTTCAAATAGTATAATAGGTATACTTAAATAATATAAATTAAAACTGTAGTCAAGTGGAATAGTATTTAATTAATAGATATTTTTTTTTTAAAAACTAGAAAAATGTTTTCTTATTTATTAGCGAACGTAATATCGAATATAAATTGGTCCAGATGACTATTTTTTTAAAAAAACGTTTAATGTGAAGAAATTATTTTGAAACCTGTTAAATGGATTTTTCTTTTAAGAGCAAATCCATATAAGCTCCCGAAATTAAACAATCCTTAGTAATTCCCAATTTATCCATTAAATCGTTGCTAATTTTTTCTCCGTGTTCGATACTCTCGTCATCAGCCAAAACCACCTGAAAATTAACAACAAATTATATATTTCAAAATTAAATTTCGTTAATTATAAATGTTATGAATAAGTATTATTATTAACTTATTAATTATTATTCTTAACAGTCATTCTCCTGATACAATTTAAATATTTAATTATAGATTTGTATTTATTTTATTAATTTTAAATTAGCCGCATTTCTTTTACAAACATTTAGAGATAAGCAATTACAATAGATATTTTTATTAATGGGCTAAAAAGTTTTAATTATTTTATTTAGATATATTAAATTGAGAAAGGAAACAAACCTCGAGTTCCATAAATGATCCCAAGCCTTTGACTTGATCAACGTGAATTCTAGTTTGGCCCACCATGTACAAAAGTCTCGTTTTTTCGACAATTCCCAAAGTTCCGTATGCAGTTGTAAGAATTCCTTCGATACCTTTGCAAGCATCAGATGTTAAAAATGTTTTCTCAAAACTAGAAAGTTTTGGTCCTTTAATGTCTGGACGATCGTAAAAAATAAGTTCTCCCGTTCCATCCTGAAATTAATTGTTTACTGATAATTCAAATTAAATTTCTTATTATTGCAATATTAAAAAGAATTTTTAAAAACGATTTAAATCGGTCAAATATAGGTAGATTATATTTGTAAATATTGCAAGCACTTTAAAAATAATGCGTAAATTTCAACATTTCAACTATTTGAACCTTCTTTTTATTTTGAGGTTATGTTTTTGTAAACAAAAATTGTTTGCATTTTCCTCCTTTAAAATTCATTATAAAAAATAATAAAATTCAATTTCTAGTAAATAAATAACATACTATCTACTAAAATAAAGAAGTTAATTAAAAAATTGAGACTTACTTGATAATTACGCAGTTTTAATCTGCCTGGCTTGTCTTTAGGTAAATTGAAAAATACATCTCTCTGTGGAATTACAGTTTCTTTAGAATCACTGATTTCCTTTACTTTGACTAAAAATTCTTCTGGATTTCCAACTTTAGCCTTAATCTCTATGTTCCTCATATTTTTACTTGTCAAACAATGATAACAATTTACAAATTTTCTAAAATAAACACTTTTTCTGCTTGTGAAAACAAGGAAATAAAACATGTGACCATGTGACAAACGAAACAATATATTTCAAAGTGAAATATTCTCACAGATTAAATTTCTATACATTTTTTTACAAAAATGACCGAAATTTCATTTGAAATTGAAATATTTCACACAATAAATTGCGCGTGCGTGAAATTTAAAAATAGTTCATTCATATACTTTCATGTATATTTTCAAATTTAAAAATTTGTTATAATATTAAATTAATTTATTCATTAATATAAAATGAAACGAGAACGAAAAATTGCCTTTATGAAAATATTTTATTATACTTTAGAATATACATTTATGTTACATATATATTATTAACAATATGTGATGAATACATTTTTTTATTGGCACAAAATGGTTATTAAAAAATAAATATAATTAATATAACAGGTACTGCAAAAAGCCATGCTTTTATATATAATATATGTGAAATATATATAGCTTCTTCACATTTCTCCTGAATTCTCAAAAATAATTTAATTCCATGATGTTAAGTACTAAGTTAATATTTATTTTTTTTAAATTAAAGAAAATTTTTTCAACTGTTGCACATTTGTTTCGCGCAATGATGTGGAAATTGGACTCCCTTCAACAGTAAATTTGCGCATTCCTGTAACAAATAAAAATTAAAAATTACTAATAATTTTTTGATTTTATTACTAATAATTTTTTTTATTTTATTGGTAATATCTTTTTATTTTATTACCAATATTTTTTTTATTTTATTACTAATATTTTTATTTCATTACAATAATATTTTTACGGTATTAAAAAATAGAATTTTTCTTATTTCAATTTTATTAATTTCTTTTCAATAAAATACTTTATTATTAATTATTCGATGCTGAATGTAGATAACGGTGAAAATCTAAAAAAATTATTCTATTTCGTAAACAATTTAGTAAAGATAAGAGCGTTTTGTTTGTGTGAATAGGGTAGAATGAGAAAAGAAGAAACACTTATGTAAAAAAGGCTACAGGCCTATAGTTACATTACTTGTAAATAAAAAAAAATAAATAAATTTTAATTATTCGAAAATTATTTTTCAAAATATTTAGAAAAATAAAACTTTTATACTTTCCGAAATTAAATTACAATTTGTCATTTTTTTCCCAATGGAATAATTTTTTTCGAATAAAATTAAATATAATGTAAAAAATATTTATCGTTTAAAAAATGACGAAACATAAATTCCTCTTTTTCCAATCAAGATAAAATTTATTCTCGCAATCTCTGTTCTAAAGAAAAAAGAATTTCTGAATTTGTAAACCTAATTTAAAAGAAATTTTTCATTTTTAAATTCAAATTTTTATTTACTAACTAAATATTTTGTTTGAGAATTAAGTAAATTAAAAATACTATATTAATTCAATAAAATTAGAATTTTCATTTAAGACTGATGGAATATTTATTTATTTATTTACATAATAAAAACGAGCTTACAAAAATTTTATATAAGTAATTTTAAAATATTTTAATTTAGAAATTTATTTATTGAACGCAATTAGTTTTCTCTATGTATGGTAATAAATAGAGAAAACTAATTGATTTATGAATTAAAATTAAATTAGAAAATTTATTTTTAATTCAAATGAAAATTTAAAATCTGATTTCTCAATCGTGTTTATTAATATCTGAAATCATTTTTATTCATAGACATCAATATAAAAAGCAATATAATTTCTGAAATAAAATTTATTACAGTTTTGTTCTCATTTTAAGCTATTACAATATTACTCAACAAACTACTAAAAATAAGAAATAAAAAAAATAAATTTTTAAAAATGTGATTAAATTTATTAATAAAAAAATTGCTAAGAAATTAAATTTACACCAATAAATAAATAAATTTGTATTAATTTTTTGGTAATTAATAATATAGTAGTTTTAATATTTATTAGTTTATTAATGATTAAGAAAAACAATTTTAACAAAAATATAATTAATAATATTAATTAATAATATTCATTTATTATTAATTTTATATTATTTACTATTATTGTATTTTATAAATAATAATTAATGTAAATACTAGACAGTTAATATTTAGTAAATACATTTAAATATAAATTTGTTAATAATTTTTAATACTTGAATAATTTATTAAAATAATGAAATTAAAAGAATATTCCAGATTTAAGTTGATGATAAATCTGTTTACAATTTATGCCCCACCCTTTAGCCATAGTTAAAGACGAAGTGTTTTATACTTACATCAAGTCCACTTATAAACGCAGTCAGACAGTGTACAATAACATAGAATGGAGCTAAGAAAAATGCCACGATAAATGAAACAAACACAAGTACAAGTAGCCAAAAAATACAAATAATTGGATTGCTGCAGGCCATTGTAATGTTTTCTCTTTCACACTCCAAAGAATAATCAAGTAAATAATTTTACAAATAGATTTTGTGACTCAATTTACAAGAGACCTCTTTTACTATAGCCTCTTACACTGGCATTCCTTTTCTCTTCAACTCCCACTACAACTCGCTTTCACCCACCACAGATGTGGCTCTTCTCTTTAGAAAAGAGGGAGTCACACTTTTAAAGGAGAGGGGAATACGATAATGATGCTACGGATGATGCTACCTCCAGGTCACAAATGTCAGATTATCAATAATTGTCATTTCAAAATTCTTTCATCACCTTTCTTTTTTTTCTGTCGCAACAGTTTTTTGTTTTCATTAAAAATCAATTTCGAAAAAATTTCTTCTTTTTTAAAATTATAATTCAGAATTATTTTTCTACACTAGAAATATGACTCGCAGTAAAAATTATTTTCTATAAAACACTAAAAATTATTAGTTACGTTAAAAAATTGTTTACAAATAAAAAATGTTTAACAGCTTAAACATTTGTCTCGAAATTCGAAAATTTAATGTTTTATTTAATTTACGACGTAGTTTGTGACAAAAACTGATTTAACAAATTGCACGTATAGAATTATTAACATTAATTGGAAGACAATTATTAAGCAGTTCATTAGTAAAAATTTATGTTGAACTAATTATTACAGATTATTTATTCTTTTTTTTTTGTTCATCATTATAGAATATTAATTACATAGTTATAAACAAAAATGTTTATGGCAATAATTCTCTCTTCATTACTCACGCGTATTTTTAGTTGAGAAATAATTGTAATGGAAATTTTTTGAATTCAACATTTATTTACAACAAATGATTAAAATGCTGTATTGCATAATTTAAAATTCTTTGATAATATATTCATCAGGTGATAAGAAGATTTATCATGTCTTTTTATTTGATAAACAAATTTTGTTGCAGCAAAAAAATTTTAAATTATTGTATTATTAGAAAATAAAATTGTGCATAAGATTTTTTTTAAAATCGATTTTTATTGAAACGAAATAATCCTTTTTTTTAAATAAAACTCATCATATCGATAGAATTTTTCAATTTTCTCCATTCTTTTTTCAATTGAATTTTTCGTACTCTGAAAATAATATTTGGGAAATTTTGGTTTTATTATTATAAAATCACAAGAGAACTTCTCGGATCGGTTTTTAAATACTAAAATTTTAATTTTTTATATTTTTGGAATCCAAAAACATTTTTCACTTATATTTTATGGGATTGTTATTGAATACCATAACAACTTTATACTATAATAAAAATAGAATAGTTTACTTCTGACTATTTTTAAAGCTGAGTAAAAGATATGATTAAGGTCATATTGACATAATTATTGTGATGACATCACCTGTCGAAACATTAAAAATTCTAAGACATGTCTTAATACTGACATCCAGTTTGTTTTAATTTTAATATTTTTAATTTTTTAAATATTTTATATATCAAAGAAAATTTTATTTTTAATTTATTTATTTTACTTCTTTTGTGTTAATTTATTTCTTTTATTATTTTTTTATCTATTAACTTATTTTACAAAATTTATTCATAAAATCGAATGTTTCTACACAAATATATATATACAAAATATAGAAATTATCTAAATTATTAAAAATATATAGAAATTGTTTAGTTTTTTCAATTGTTTCTTTTCAGTTTTGTATTTAAATGCAAAACATATAATTGTCCAATCCAAGAAATTCCGTAAATGTAAAAAATACTCCCAACTTTTTTTTATAAGTTTTAACTTAAATTTATTGAATATTATAAATATTCTAAAAATCTTTCCTTGGTTTTATAATAGTAAAGCTCAAGTGTTAAAAAAATAAGATACGACTTATAATACGACTAATTTGAAACCTCGGTTAAAAACATGGAAGTCAAACTTTTGTTGGATACATGAAAAAAGTCTCAGCTTTTTTTCTTTTTTTCTTATATAATCGTGATTTGTCGTTTTTAACCGAAATTTTCACTGAAAGCGTGTGTATAGCAATAATAATTACTATTATAGTAACTAATAATGTTATTAAATATTTTTATACATGTACATTATTATTTCTATTTATAATATATAACCATTTCAAAGTTCAGTATTAGGTATGATATTAGTATATCTAACAGTCACAAAGATTTTATGTAAGTAGACAAGTCTTTTTGCTCGGCTGTCTATGAATAAGACAACAGGTATATTTTTTCTTTTCCTTTTCATTTGCGACTCCATAATGGAAGAAGAATATTGTTATAATTTTTTCCCTACGAAAAAGTTTCGCCTTAGAGCAAATATTATTTTTATCGCATATATAATATATACTAATAGTCTAATTTAGCTGCATTATTCTATAATGAATACCTCTGGCAATCGACTATTATCTTATTCACTAGAATACTTTCGAACTCCTGTCAGTGTGTTTTACGTTTACCAATATTGGATGCATTTAACACTGGACATAAAAAAATCGAGAGACGATTCCAATTACCAATTTTTTTTTCTTTTTTTCTAAAGATTAAATAAGAAAATATTTCGATACCTGTATATTCACTGCAAAAAAAGAAGGCAGGTATATGTTTTATTGACAAAAATGTATTTTTGGTCTCTCGCTCATTAAAGAATGAAAAAACTCGCAAAATAAAATTTTGGAGTTTGAAAATCACGAACGATTTTTTTTAAATGAGGAACTTTATATAATATAGTTTAAAAAATAGCACCGAAATTTTGTTTTCACATCAAATCAGCTTTCTCGTTCCTTGCGTATTAAATGAAAAATATCATGAAAGAAAAACCTACTTTGTAAAATCGCTTTAAAAATGTTTAGTACAATGACAATTAATTGTTTTACATTAGTGAAAAATGGATTTTTTTGTATACCTTCGATGAGTACAATTATTCTAAAATATTGCATTATGTAAAAAACAGGCACTTGATGTATGTTTCATTTAAAAACTGCTTTAATTGCCACATGCACATTATATAATAATAATATAATATAATAATAATAATAATAATAATAATAATAATAATAATAATAATAATAATAATAATAATAATAATAATAATAATAATAATAATAGATAATAATCATAATGATAATAATAATGTATAACAAGAACAAAAATCTATATTTATCAATATATCGATCATAATTAGCGTTTCAATGCCGCGGAGCATACTGTTTTTTTGTTTTTCTCTATAAATTAGGCTCGGCAAAAGTCCTTGGTTAAAATTTCGTACTTTTTATTCATCATCCCAATATTGTAAACATATAAAAATGGAACATTTCGTTAAAAAAATGTTTATAAAAGGAATTTTTTATTACGCTCTCAAAGATTAGATAAATAAATAAATCAATTTATTGATTAGCAAAATCAAATTTTTAATTTTTAATTCAAAATAATACTGTATTAAAATTTTGAAAACAGAATTTAAAATATTCAATTTTATTCACTTAAATATTTCATTTAATGTCAAAATAGAAACTGAAGCATTTAATTCAATTTTTTTTAAAGATAAAAACTATTTTTTAAATAAATTTTTGAAACTAATGAATTAAATTTTTTTGCAAATTCAAAAAAAAAACGAGAAATAAATAAAAAAAATTGCAATATTTCAGTCCCCGAAGAAAAGAAATACTTCTTATACGAAAAAAATGGACTAGGAAACATCAAAAGTGATATAGAAAATATCAAGATCGGACTGACTGGAATACCTATGTACATGCATTCTTTTCTTGTTTTTCTTAGGTAAACCAGTGAGAAAATTGTGTAAAAAATACGCCTTGTTGGAACATCGTATTTGAGGCTTTTTTAGTAGAAAAATCGTCGAATATCGAGTACGAAATTAAATTGACTATATATAAATACAAATTCGCCATCCAGGCAAATATTATTTTCAATGCTTCTTTTTCTCCTGAAAAAATTGCAGAGCATTTTTTTTTTTAAAGCACTGTAGATTACGAATTCGTTGACTTTTAAGACACCGAATCGACTGCTACAACACCGAAAGAATCCATTTACATAAAATCTTTGGTGATATGATTTAAGCTTAGACCCATTGATCTGTAATAGATATCTAACACTGTTACATTCGATAAACAGCTACTAGCCATCGTTCATTGTTTTTTTTCATTTTTTTTTTGTTTTTACATAATTTTTTGATTTTCTCTAGTACGAGCGTTCATGGCTCGAACCTGCTCGATTTTTTTTCATTTTTTTCTTTTTTTTTGTGAAATGCACCAAATTATCGCAAAAAATTCCCTGACAATTTTTAGTGGAGCTATCAACCCACACTGTCTCCCATTACTTCGGTTACTGCTTTCACTTTTTCCTCACCCTCTTCAATTTCATTTTCCGGTTCACTCTCCGCGTCGACAAAATCCTAATGGTAGAATTCACAGATTTTAGTGAGTGATTTCTTATATTTAATATTTCAAAAATCAAATTTATCTTTATAAATTTTGTATATTAATAGAAAGCATTAAAAAAATTGTATCTCTTAGTTTTGAAATAATATTGAAAAATGTATAATGTGAACAAGTGAAGCAAATTTTATTTAATAGAAAAACTGCAAAATATTTTAAAAAATTAGTAGTTTTGGAAACATGTTGCAGTATTTCGAGATATCAAAAGTTTATGAAAAAAATGTGAAATGAATTAGTTTTTTAATAATTTTAATTACAAGGATGACAATTTCTTTTTTCTTGAAAATACGGGAAAAGGTGGATTATTCTCCGAAAATAGTTGACACAAGGTGATTGAGATTGATTGAAATGAAAATTAATTAAAGTTTGGATGAAGTAGAAAATATTATTTGAATAAAAAATAAAGAAAATGGTTTCTTACATCTTTGTTAGCTTGTTCACTGCAGCTTTCCCCTTTAGGTTCCTCATCTGTAGAAAAAACAATATTTTAAATATCAGCCGATTACTAATTAATTGATTGTTATAATTTATTAACACTAATAATCCCTTCATTTATAATTTCCAATTTACAGTAAATACAGATTTAAATTGTGAGATCAGGATGGCCACAATAAAATATAAAACTTAATTTAATTTAAACAAATTTATTTGTCAGGTCTAACAATAAAAGTCTCCTCGCTCGCAGACCTCAGTACAGACTGACCTGATCCTCTTTCTCGTTATCTCTCAAACCCCAAAAACAAACACACAATCATTCTTACAATTATATATACACACACTTGTACATCATTCTCACCTATAACCTTACAAAATTAAATTCCTTTTTAATTTGAAATTAAAATTAAAATTTTGTGTACTCTAAATTAAAATTATCATTCAAAAAAATCAACTCACCAATTTCTGTTTGTGTGTGAATGTTAGACGTTGAAGTAACTAAATTTTCTTCTCGCTGTGCTTTATTATCCATTGCGTGAAGCTTTTCTCGACTTCTTCGCAATTCCCTTCGTAAATTCTCTCGTTCATCTTCTCTGACTTTAACAATTCTCTGTAGATTTAAATTCAAATTTGCTTTCATTAATAAATTTATTTCCAATTGACTTTATTAATTTAAATGAACTAACTTATTTAATTAAAAATTTAAAACTTGAATTCTTCAAATTAAATTTACTGTATTTTTAACAGTAACTATGTTAATGCTAGTCTAAAGGAACCAAAGCAGCACAGCTACTTGTCTTTTATAGAAGAAAATGGTTTTTTTGATAGAGAAATTGAAAAATTAACTCACAAGAAGTTCAGTAAGCTGAGTGTTAAGAGTTGTACAAATTGGTTGTAAATTTGTAACGGGTACGGTGCGTTGTTGAATTTGCGGCTCAACACGAGACGAGGAACAACTCGTTGCCTCGCAACCAGCGGGTGATGACGAAGCACCTCTAGTAGCGAGAACAATTTCCGATTCACTGACAGTCAACGCGGAATTTAACATTTCTACTAATTGATTTGCTGAAAATAATAAAATCATCACAGTTAAATTATTTTTTAATTCCATGAAATAATTGAATTTTACCAAAAAGAGATTCTTCTCCTCTGCAAATTTTTTACTGATATATTCGACTTATGAGGGAAATGTTTACATAAATTGTCTTTTTGCGAGGCGCATGAAAAGTCTCCAATTTTTATTTTCCGAATCTTTATTTTATCGAAATTCTTTTTATCTAATAAGAATTAATTATAATTTCTTTTAATCGAAAGAATAATTGTGAAAAACATTATTTTTTTGAATGATTAATTAACAGAATTTTAATACTGCGGAAGAAAATTTTTTATAATCTTCAAATAACTGAATTATCATTTCTAAAAATTATTATTTTTTATATATCTTATTTACACTAATATTTCCATTTTCGAAATGTCAATTTTCATAAATATTATTTTATAGATTTGTTAATAATTATAATAATTATGTTCCCGAATTATTATATAATATAATTCAAATATTACCGAATTACCAATTCTTAAAAAATTTATTGTTGGGTCAGAATTCGTGAAATTTTCACGGAAAATAAAAAGTATTTTTTTTAAATCGAAATGTTGAAAAAACATTTCTATTTGGCCTTAAGAATGTGTCCACCAAAAAACAGAAAAAAAAATTATTTTTTATAAAAGTTATTGCAAAATTAATTTTTTTGCAACTTTTTAAACAAAATTTTATTTCTCCTAAATGAATAAACCGATTTAAATGAACCAAGCGGGAATATAAAGGGGATAAAATATACTTTCGTTTAGAATTAGAAAATTTTTAAAAAGTTTATTTTTTAATAATTATTTAATAAATTTTTTATAAACAATTAATTTTTTTTAATGTTCTACGCCTTTTAAAAATTTGAAAAATATATTAACATACACTTAAAACTATAAGAAATCAAAATCCGTTGAGAAAATTTTGGAGCGACAATTATTTTAAAAGTTATAAACAAATTATATTGAACGGAGATGCGATTTTGATGATTTTCAGAATTAAAACATTATTTTTAACTACGAAATGAACAAAACACTGTCAAATTAACATTTTTATTCAATTATATAACCATAAAAATTGATAAAAATGATCAAAAACTAAGTTCAGCGTTGATGCACAACACCGCGCCAATATAATTTCCATTAGAACTTTTAAAATAATTGTCGCTAAACTACGCTAAATATCATTAGGGAAATTGTTTTAAACAATATTTGTAATAATTAATCATTTTTAAATAATAAAATAATAAACTATTTTCAAATTTGGCGCCATATTCTTCAGAGATGGGAAACGTCGAAACCGGATATTCTGTATGTGAAATAACTATTCGGTGCAATTCTTATTATGACATTTATAGGTTAGGCAAATAATAAATTAGAGAATTTAAATCTTAGAAGAAATGGATGTTATGTAAAATACGAATTAGGAAATATAAAAATTATGAAAAAGAATTATTTGGAAAAATGAATATTCGGAAAAATAAAAAAACGATTAAAAAAAATTATTTAAAATATAATTTCGGTAAGAAAAATATTATACGAAATAATTATTCGAATAAAATAAAATTATAAAAACTGGTTATTATACAATAAAAAAATTTGTAGGTATAAAAAATTATTAGATATTACAAAAATTTTGAAAAATAATATTTCGATATAATAATAATTATGAGAAGTGACAATTCGGTAAAGTTATAGTTAGAAGAAATACAAGTTAGAAAATGTAGTAATTATAAATAAGAATGATTAGGAGTAAAGAAAATTATGAGTAATGTTAATTCGAAAAAGTTAAAATTATTTTGAAAAACATTTATAAGAAAAAAGTTTTATAACAAATGATATTTCGATAAAATAAAATTTAGAGACTTTAGAATTTAGAACATTTACACATATTAAAAAAATATTGTTAGGAACAATAAATTTTTTAAGAATTGGTAATTCGGTAATATTTGAATTATATTGAATAATAATTCGGGAATATAATTATTAACAAATCTATAAAATAATATTTATCAAAATTGACATTTCGAAAATAAAAATATTAGTGTTAATAAGAAATATAAAAAATAATAATTTTTAGAAATGATAATTCAGTTATTTGAAGATTATAAAAAATTTTCTTTCGCAGTATGAAACATTCTGTTAATTAGTCATTCAAAAAAATAATGTTTTTGACAATTATTCTTTCGATTAAAAGAAATTATAATTAATTCTTATTAGATAAAAAGAATTTCGATAAAATAAAGATTCGGAAAATAAAAATTGGAGACTTTTCATGCGCCTCCTTTTTGACCGCGTGTTTAAATAATTTTTTACTAATTTCATTTATTATTATTTAACTAATTTTTTTATTTTATTTTTATTTAATATTTTATTGTGTATTATTTTAAAGTGCAAAGTAATGTTACTAATCTAATTTAAAAAAGTACGAAACGAAAAATAAGAATATAATTTATAAAAAATTGAAAAAAATATATTTTAAAAAATATCTTTAAAAAGACCTAAATAAAATAAGAATATGAAAAACAAAAAACAAATTAAACTGAGAGAATATAATTAAAATGGTATAAAAACACACCTTGGTTAATAGCAGCAAGAATCAGTTCAGCAGGTTCTTTCTCGAGTTCAGATGGCTCTGCTGCAATATCTGCGACATGCTCAAAATCTTCTCGAGATAGGTTTAACATATCGGCAACCAAAGCTTGCTTTTCGGTTAGAGCTTGCTTGATCGCTTCATCCTTGCGTCTTAAATGTTCTGCAGCAGAAATAACACACACGGCATTATATATATATATATATATATATATATATATATATATATATATATATATATATATATATATAAATCATTTATCATGCTAAATATTCAACTAAAAACTTTAGTTTATAAATTTATTTCATTTTATTTATTTTATAAATTATAGAAAATAGATTATTTATTTCGAACTTGAAAAAAAATAATTTTAAATTTATTTGTAATCTAAATCGGTGAAAAATTCAAAGAAAAAGCTTATAAGTAAAAAGTTAATAAAAACTAACAAACGTACTTTTTCACTACAATTCAAAAGTAATTGAAAATGAAAAATATAAAATTTGTATTAGAAAGAAAAGTTTTGTTCTTTTAGTTAAGAAATCAAAAATGAATGTAAGATGAAACAAGATAGACAAAAGGCAGAACAAGAAATGGATACAAACACAGCAAGAACAAAATAAATTATATTCCGGGTTCACGGAGACAAAACTTTACGTATTATCAAAATATTTTTAACAAATAAATTAAACACATTTAACTTTGTTTTTACAAATAGATTCAAAAACAAATTAAGTGTTAGATTCTTTTTCTGGACTCTTAGTAAAATTGATCATTAAAATTAAATTCAAATTCAGTAAATGAATAAATAAATTTTATAGAACAAATGTAATAATGTACATATAAAGTAATTAGAAATTTTGTATTCGTGAACCAAGAGTGAGAAAGAGAAGAAGACAATCGAAAATCAGAGAAGTATAAAGCCGCCGTTGACAGGTTGCGTGAAATAAAAGTAGGAGCGTTAGAAGAGCAGATGAAAAATGTTGATTTCCTTCTGAAAAAGAAACTCACCAATTGGCGTGATCACTTCTTCAGCAACAAGAATAAGTGGCTCTTCAATATGAACCTCATCTGGTTCTATAAGGGAACATTGTGTACAGGTAACAATTCGCAATGTTTCTCCAATACCTATATATACATTAATTAATACAATCGTCTTGTATCTAAATATTTCATCAAGAACAATAAAAAGAAATAAAAATAAAAAATAGAAAAATTAATAAAACAAATAAATAGTTGAAAATTCTAGTGGGTCGAATTTCTACTTAGCCGAATGAAATTAAATTAATATTAAACTGAATTTTCACACTGGACTTTTTTTTATTTAAATTGTTCTTTAGTTAATAGAATTTTTACTTAACTCACATTTAAATTATTACAATTTAGCTCTAATTTATTTATCCTCAAAACGAATTATAATATTTATTTATTATTCATTATTTTCATATTTCTCTGTTTGTAAAATCTATTTTTATACTTCGATTTATTTAAATTTCGATTGTTAATAGACACCAAACTTTTCTGTGGAATTATTTGCAAAATGAAAATTATTCTATATTTAATAAAATATTTCAATTACTTTCGACTATTTTAAAACTTTAGTTATATTGAAAAAAATAAAATTTTTTAAATATCTATATGATTATTTATTCAAATTAAATATTTTAAATATAATTCTAACATTTTATGAATGAAATATGTGCTATTTGTTGCTCAATTTATTTTATAAACGAATTTAAGTTGTAATATAAGAGAATTTTGAGATTGATTAAAATAAAAGTAATTAAACAATTTATAAAGTTATATATTTTCACGAATTAATAGTAGAAATGATTAAAATTAAAATTTTAAAAATACTTTTTAAATAATTTGACAAGAAACTAAGTAGAACATCTTCTAAAAAATTTTTATAAAAATTGAAATGGATTGAAATAAAGTTCAATTTTTTATAAAATTTTTCCTTATTAAATAATTGATCAAGAAATGATATTAAATATTTAAAAAAAATTCTTTTCTAAATCCTTGATAATAAAGGTTGTCAATTTCACCAACGTCAAAATTCAATTATTTTTTAAATTTTTAAGTAAAATTATTCGCTAAATAATTTATAATTTATAATTTATAAATAATAATGCAATGCTATAACGTCTATGTAACTAACGAAGGCGGTTCAGGGTCCATCTTGGCCAGATGGTAGTACCCTGTTTAGGCTCGATCGTTCCCTCGATACGGGGCAAAGAATAAAAAAAATGAAATGGATAAAGAATCAAATAAATTACTCCAAGTGGGTACCTCTGTAGAGGGTAATCCCACCACCGATTCTGATCGGGTTGAAGCCCCGGTAGTCGGTGAAGACGGCTCGAAGGATTTTGGGGGGAGCCAAAGCAAACATTCCGAGGATAAGGGACTTAGCAGATTCGAAAATAATGTTTTAGAGCAGGTCGATCTGATCCCTAAAATACTTGAAAGCATGTGGCGTGCTTGCAAGAAACAAAGAAACATTAGCAAGGATGTTCAGGATGGAATGGTGGAATTGGAGAAGGTGCACGAGGTGCTTCGCAGTAACCTGCGTTTTATACCTAGGCCCTTCATTAGCCCAAGCAAACCAAAGTCAAATCCTGAAACTCCTAGATCGATGTCGCACGCCACATCTAGCGAGAGCAAGCCCATCGACCCAAGGAAGCGCCCTAGAGAGTATGAAGGTCCGGAGACTGATTCTACTGTGACCACTCCCAAGGGTAAGAGGGTTAAGAGCAAGGAGACCAAGCCAAACCCTACTGTTATGGAGACGGAGGTGAGTAAGGCTGCTTCGGCCAAGGTTGCTTCTTATTCGGAGGCAACTGTGGAAAATAAGCCCGAAAACGAAAATGACTTCGAAACCGTCTCCAATAGGAAACGGGATGCCCGTAAGAGAAAGGCCTTGAAGAAAGCAGAAGAGAGGGAGAGACTTCAGAAGCGCCCCCCAAAATTAGAACCACGGAGGCAATAAAAATTTCGGCCCGGAATCCAGAGACCTACTATGATCTTATAAAACTGGCAACAACTTCGGTAAAGCCAGAGGAAACTGGCACCGAGATTGTGAAAATTAGGAGAACTCTTAAAAAGGAGGTTCTTGTTGTGGTCAAAAAGGGGGGTGAAACTTCAAAGTAACTTTCAAAGTAACTTTCAAAGTGCGTATTGGTTGAATAAACGCATCCATCCGAACGCACTTAGAAGTGACAAGATGTCAAAAGTGCCTGGCCTATGGACACGTGACCCGAATTTGCAAGGGCCCCGACAGAACAAAAAACTGTCGGAGATGCGGCGAAGCGGGACATTTCGCCAAGAGTTGTACTGGCGACAAGCCAAAGTGCATTACGTGTACAGATTTGGGAAAAACGGAAGTCAACCATATCCCTGGAAGAATTTCCTGCCCGGTTTACAAGGAGGAACTGGAGAAACTTAAAAGGGCAAATCCTTAAAGCTCCTTCAAGTCAACCTGCATACAAGTAAGGATGCACAGGTGCTCCTGATGCAAACAGCTAGGGAAAATGAGGTCGATATCCTGTTCTGCAGTGAGCAGCATCAAGGAAGCGACCTCGCACCTTGGTATCAGGATAAGGCGAAGAGAGCCGCCATCAAGCTGTGCAACCCAGAATTGCGGGTTGACAAGTTCTTGGAGACAAGCAGCGGGTTTGTGTGGATAGAGGTGGCTAATATACGTATGTATAGCTGCTACTTCTCACCCAACGACCCGCTGACCACCTTCGAAGCCAATATAGAAGACCTAGAATCGAGCCTCATAGAATCCAAGCTGGATGTCATCACTGGCGATTTTAATGCAAAGTCGCCAGAGTAGGGTGAGACGAGGCTCGACAAGAGAGGAATTCTGATTGGAGAAATGATCTCCAAGAACGATTTATTAGTTGTAAACCGGGGAAAAACATGGACGTTTAGACGAGGTGCAATCGGATCGATTATAGATCTAACGATCGCATCATCTAATATATTTAGCCGCATAAGCGACTGGCGGGTCTCTGAGGAATATACAGCAAGTGACCACCAGTACATTGAGTTCTCAGTCTCAATGGGAGACACACGAGGAGGAAAAAGACAGGAAGCTCCTAGTCGCAAAACCTCCTCATGAAACATTAAGAAACTCGACAAGGAGAAGTTCAGCCGCTCCCTAGAAGAATCTATCTTAATTGAGGATTCTGGTTGGGTGAGGAGGCCGAAAAGTCTAAATGGAGAGGTGCGAGCGGTGCGAGATATAATCGTCACCGCTTGCAATGCGTCGATGCCACGTCGCAAAGGCGCCTTTCCAAGGAAAAAATCCTTGCACTGGTGGTCAGAGAAGCTGGCCTCCTTGAGAAAGGAATGCCTCAAAGCAAGAAGGACATATACCCGATCTAAGGGAGATCCCTTGCTAAAAGAGGCTTTCAAGGAGGCGAAAAAGGGCCTCAAAAAAGAGATCCGCAGATCGCGACGCCGTAGCTGGAAGGACCTAATCGAGGAAGTCGATAAGGACCCATGGGGTCTGGCTTTTAAAATCGTGACTAAGAAATTAGTGACGAGGCAAAAGACCCCCGACCTGGACAATCCCGATTGGGTCAGAAAGATAATAAGCTCTTTGTTTCCTCCTGCAGAGCCATACCTTAGAAGCGACTGAAGTTTTTGCAAAGTCGAAGAGGAAGAACTCTTCACACTTAGTGAACTGCAAAAAGCAGGCAAAAGATTGAAAACAGGCAAGGCGCCTGGAATCGATGGGATAAGTAACGAGATCCTAAAGTTGGTAGTCGACACTTCACCCCAGATTCTGCTTCGATGCTGCAATCTTTGCCTTGAGAGAGGAGAGTTCTTCCGCGACTGGAAGCGACAGAGGTTAGTCCTCCTGAGGAAAGGTGAAAAACCTCTAGATAAAGTCTTATCATACAGGCCTATATGCCTGCTAGATACGATGGGTAAACTTCTAGAGGATATGGTTCTGCAGAGAATGCAAAGCCACTTGACCGGAGAGAATAGTCTATCGGATCACCAATTTGGTTTCCGTAGAGGCAAGTCCACAGTTGATGCCATCCAGGCAGTTGTGGACATAGCCAAAGCAGGAAAAAACAAGTTGGGACCCGGAAAAAAGAAGAGCTTCTGCGCGTTGGTAGCAATTGACATACGCAAAGCGTTTAATTCCGCAAGATGGAAAGATCTCATCGAGTCGATGGAAAAGAAAAACATGCCGCCCTACTTGTTGCGGATAATGGATAATTATCTTAGCGACAGGAGGGTTATATATGAGTGAGACACCTGCACTCTCAAGGAAGAGATGCAGCGTGGGGCTCCTCAAGGCTCGAGGGTGGGTCCATTTGTATGGAATGTATCTTACGATGATTTTCTGCGAATGGATCTACCCGAAGGTGCGGTGATCATCGGCTTTGCGAACGACGCGTTGTTCGTGTGCACTGCCGAAAGTGAGGAGGCTCTTGAGACATTGGTGAACGAATGTCTGCGACTAGCAAAAAGCTGGCTGGATACCAGAGGTCTTGAAATGGCCCTGGAAAAGACCGAGGCACTGCTGGTCACAGACAGACGTGGTTATGAGCTCCCACGAATCGTGATAGACGGATTCGAGGTCAAGTGGAGTAAACAAATTAAATACCTTGGTGTGGAGTTGGATGGAAGGTTAAACTTCCACCACCACATGGCTACGGCGTCAAATAAGGCGATCGAGTGTGCGGCTAATCTTTCACGGTTAATGCCAAATGTAGGCGGACTCCGTGAACAAAAACGGAGACTGGTGGCGAGTGTCGCCCATGCTAAAATGCTCTATGCAGCACCAGCGTGGGCCCCATCCCTGAGGAATAAAAGATGTGTGACCATCTGTGAAAAGGTACTGTCGGCGCAGAGATCGATAACAACACGTATCATCTCTGCATATAAGACGGTATCTACGAGTGCTGTGCAGGTCCTTGCAAGTGTCCCGCCAGCAGATCTTTTGGCGAGGGAAAGGGAAGAAATGTTTCTCTTTTCTAAAGAAAGAAGTTCCTTGGATGAGGAATTAAGACCAAGCAAGGGCCTGATCCGCAAAGAAGCGAGGCACAGGCTCATAGAAAGATGGCAAGAAAGATGGGATGGTGAGGAGAAAGGTCGATGGACTTATCGCCTTATCCCGGCACTCGCCACCTGGATAAATAGGAAACACGGTCAGGTTTCCTATTACTTGACTCAGGCGTTCACAGGTCACGGGTGTTTTAACTCGTACCTGTGTCGCTTTAAATTACGCGAGAACGAGGTGTGTGCGTATTGCTAGTTTCCTGAGGACAACGCGGAGTACACCCTCTTTTCATGCAAGAAATGGGACTTGGAGAGTCGGGCCATGTTCGAAGGTGTAAACAGTCAAGTTACACCGGAGAACATGGTATCGCTGATGACCCAGTCGGAAGAGAATTGGCGGCAAGTCGAGAACTTCATAATCTCGGTTATGTCGAGGAAGGATCTCGACGGCCGCCAAAAAGCGTAATTTAAACAGCTTTTAATTTTGTTCGTTTGTTTTTTATTAATTTATTTTGTGATTTATTTGTCCTTATACATTTTTTAATTGTTTGTGTTTTTTTTATTCATCTTTGTACAGTTTTATGTTTTCAATTTTTTATGCGCGTTTGTTTTTTCTTTTTTTTATATATCCGTTTATAATTTTATCTTCTTAATTTTTACACTTAATTACACATTTGTTATTTTTAATTATTGTTGTGCTGTTAATTCCGCTTTATTGTGAAATAGTTTTAAATTTTTAACTATTAACGCAGGATGACCGCAGAGAGGGGCAGAAGGTCGCATTGGCGACAGAGTTGGAGCGCCACCCTCGAGGGCTAAAGTCTTACAACAGTTCCGAGGGAGGGTGGGGGGCTCCAGAAGAAGGGTTGCGGGTTTTAGTGGGTCGGGCTGGTAGTAGGTCGCCAGTGTATTAAATTTAATTTTTTATAGATTTATTTTTCTTTTTTTTGTATTTCCTTTTGTTTTATCATACCAACCCCACATAACCTTGGAGTGCGGAATCCAAGGTGTCTGTGGGCAGATTTCCCAAAATTCCCTAAGCAAAAAAAAAAATAATAATAATAATAATAATAATGATAATATAAAAGTTTTTTAAGAATAAATTAATTAAAATAAATTCAATGTTAATTGTTTAGACTCAAACTTATTTAGATTTAAATTTATTATTATTTTACTTATTCAGAAAATAAGTTTTCATAATTTATAAATTATGTTATTTTCCATAATTTTGCGTTAATAAGTTGATTTTCTTATTTTAAAAGATAAAACTTTTCTTAACCGAAAATGTCATCCTAATTTGTTTAATTTTTATGATTTCGAATCTAAAATAATTTAATTCTTGCATAGAATTTTTTAATTTTAAATTGAACTGAAATTACCTACTTGAATTTTTCTAAAGAATTTTATCAACATTTTTAAAAATAATTTAATTCTGTTAAGAAATCTTATTGACATTATTAAAAATAATTGAATTCTGACAAGAAATTTTATTAAAATTATATTGAAATTAATTCAATTCCGAAAGGAAGTAATTGCAACGAACCTGGTGCGTGTACTTCAGTTTTCGGCTGTTGTGCTTTCTCACTCGCTTCGGGAATTTCAGGCGCATCCGGCGTTTCCTCTTCTTCCTTTGCACGCGTCGTCGTCGTCGTCGTCGCCGTTGCTGTTGTCGTTGACGTCGCCTCTTCAATCGATTCCTTCGACTCCTTCTCGTGATCCAATTTCTCGCCAATCACCTCAGTTTCCGGTGCAGATGGTTCCTCCGAGAGAGGAGTTATTTCCTGCGCTATCGTTGCCGATGGTGTCGGTCTTCTACCTTCCCTATCCTTCGTCTTGTAAGCTTCCACAGTATCGGAAATGTGTTTAAACCACAATTTTCGTTCAGCCTGCGACGATGCGACTAGTTCATAAATTTGCGCTCCATTCTGCGATGTATTCACAAGATAAATAGAATTGTGATCGACTGCATTGTGCCTAACGAGGACTGTCGAAATCTTAACAATTGGACTCAGAACCGTACTCGGCTGACTGTTGACTAATTTCAATAGATACTTCTCATCCTGCCTCTGCAAAAGGACAATAATATCGTCGAGTAGAACCACATGTAGATCAACAAGTTTCGCTCGATTGACAATTCTCCATTGCAATGGTCCCTCGAAAATGAGTCGTCTTTTTGTGAAATCGAGATTTTTGAATTCTTGCACTGTTGGATTGTCGGTGCACTTCTCGAATGCCGATTTGTCAATGGTGCGTTGAATTTCAGCGAGTCTCTGATAGTCCTCGTATTCTTTAACCGATTGATTAACGCGACTAAGTATTTCTTTGCTACGCTCGAGACTGCGATTAATTGCACTCCTTTCCTTTTCATTAGTCTCGGGTGTATATTTGGTTAGATTCTCAAATAGAAGAGGATATTTGGTTAACCTGAGCATACCAGTGAGAATTTGATCCTTGAGTTGTAGTCTTCGACATAGTGGATTTGCCTCCACTTCGTTCAGAAAACTATTGAGTTTTGGATCCTTGCGACGTCGATCGCGAAGTGCATCGAGTGCAACTTGTTGTTTGGCGCAGTAAATTGACGCGGCGCATTCAAAAGCATCGCCTGCTTCGCCATCAAACATTTCCAGTAGTAATTCACCCACGTCCTCAACGCAGGGATTCTCCTTTTTCTTTCGTTTCATTGCCTGATTGAAACTTGAATGAATTGTCACCATTTCATCTAAATTCGAAAACAGTAGATGTATTTGGTCTACGGGAAGTACTTGCGATTCCAATAGTGGTTTATGGAAGACTTGCGATAGAACTTTCAACGCTCGCACGTGTGATCGTTCCGTGTGGAATAATTCTGAAAAATTACAATGTTAGTTTTATTATTTCTTCAACTTCTATGAACAAAGATTTATAAGATTCAGACTTCGAATCGACTTTAAAGCTAAAAAATCGTTTTCGACGATTTTTCCATAAATAAGTCGATGAAGTCGTTAACTTTATTAAAAAAAAACAAAAATTCCATTTTTTATTTTCCTGACCTTTCACTGATTTCTAAATTAAATTATTCAAAACTTTCATATTTAAATATACTTGATTTTTATTTTTCCACAGGAATTAAAATCTAAAAAATTTCAAATCTTCAAAAATTTAATCATTTCTAAAAATTACAACTGCAATTACAAAATTACAACTTCCAAATTTTAAGATAATTAAATTTTACAAAATTGTGTTAAAAAATCTAAGAATAAATTTTTTAAAAATATTGTAATGTAAGTTTTTGTAAATAATTGAATTACTTAAAAGTATATGTCCAAAATTGTAATAATAATTATAAAAAATTAGATTATAAAAAAATTTTAATATAATTATTTTTTGTGGATATTTGAATTTTCAGAAATAGTAATTGAAAATATTGAAAATAGAATTGAATGTTAAAAAATTACAATGAAATGATTCTAATAACTGTTTAATTAAAAAAATTAATATCATTTCTTGATGCTAATTTTCATTAATTTTTATTCTCAAATTACTCAATGACAAATATAAAATTACAAATAATTTTTCAAGTATAAACTATTTTTCAATTATATGAATATAATTGAAAAAGTTCCAAATAATTGAAATTTATTAAAATTCTTTATAAAAATAATTGAACTTTTTTAAAAGAATTTTTAATACAAATATGAAAATACATTATTCTTCAAAAATTTTAATGATAAATCTAAAAACGAATTTTTTAAATAATTTTAATTCATTTTTTTGAAGATAATTGAATTTTAAAAATTATGATAAAACAATTTAAATTGTAAGAATTAGTTTTTTTTTAATATTTGAATGTAATAATTTTTCGAAAATAGTTTAATGTACTTAATTATTTATTGGAGATATTTGAATATTCGAAAATATTGAAAATAATGTGATTTCAAAAAATTATGATGATGATAAGATTCTAAGAATTAATTTTTTAAAAAATATTTTATAATTTAATTTTTGGAAGCTACTTTTTATTAATTTTATTTTTCAAATTTCTATTTGAAGATTTTTGATTAAAATTTTTGAGAATTCAATTATTTTCTAAATTTGCAATTGACATTCTTCAAAATTCGATTTTTCAAAATTTAATGGAATACTTTTAAAAATAGATTATTTATTACCTATCAATAAAATTTTACTAAATTTAAATAATTTAAATTGTTTTCAATTATGTATTTCAAAAATTTAATTAGCTTAAAAAAATTAATCAAAAATAATTTTTTATAGATTTGACCATAGTTATTTTTCACACAGTAAACATCGAAATTAGTAGCATTTTATACCAAAAAAGTATAATTTTGTTGCATATTTAGAAGAAAAGTCGGAGAAATCGCATTTTTTAAAAATAAGTTGAAAAAATCACCTTTTTGGAAAATAGTCGAAAAAATGTCCTAAAAAATCATAATTATCCGAGGTTTGAAGATTTTATATCGATATATGTAAGAAAAACTTAGATTCAGAATACGTTAAAAAGAAACTTAGATTCAAAAGACGAATTAGAAAAAATGTGTAAATCTCACCATTAATAACTTCTTGCCTCTTCTTTTCTGAATTGCTAAGACGTGCCAGTACTTCCTCGGCAACTCCATGACTCCAGTCTGGAGGATCTGGCTCGACGTCAACATCGCTGTCCCAGGAAGTCGATGTATTTGATGCCGAGGTCGTGGGAACCTGTTCCAGACTTGTGCTTGGACTGTCTAAGCTTCTCGTTGATAAACTACTATTAGATGAACTACCCGCTGAATTTCCAGGAAAAGCTCCAGTTGTGTCACAATCACTAAAGTCGAATTAAACCATTTTTATTTCAATTCCACTCAGAAAATCGAAAATTAACATTCAAATTCAACAACGTCACAATAAATTCTTGGTGAAAAAACAAAGGAATAAAAACAGGAAACTTTTGAATGAAAATTTCACAAAAATCATTTATTCGTTTTTCTGTTATATAAAAATTCAGTGAATTTAAGAATTTTTCTTCAATTGTATTTCTGAACATTAATTTAGGCACTGTAGAATTAGTTGAATTGATCCAAGATTTACAAGAACAATTTTCATCAATTCAAAATTTACTTAGTCCAAGTTTTAATCTATTTTAATTTAAATTAGTTTAGTTTTATTGATTAAAATTGCAATCGAACAAAGTGGAAAACTTTAAACTTTATTTACATAATTGTTTTATTAATACTATTTTGCATTTTGTGTAAATAAACAATTGTAAATAAATATATATAGTAATGATGCTATCACTCGGTCGATAAAATATTAAGATGATGAAAAAAATCGATCACTCCGAGTCAGAAATCACTCCTGACTCGGAGTGATCGATTTTTTTCATCATCTTAATAATTGTAAATAAATATAAAAGTTACTAATGAAAAATTATAATTATCGCTGTTCACAATAAATAGTTTATTTTTGGTCTCATGAAATTTAAATCACTGAAAAATCAAATTTCTCAATCTAGGAAATATTCCTTTGTGAATCGTCACAAAATTAATTTATACCAGTAGAAAACGAATAATTACTAAATAAAGTTTACTAAAACAAGAAATATAATGATAAAGCGGAATCGTCTTTTACGTCACAAAATACATAAAATAATAAAAGACGAAATAAAAGCATTTTTTCAATTTTTTGTTAAATTTTTGATTCAAATAATTGAATCAAAAATGAGAATACCTTTCAGATCTGGTACGTCGATCTGTTACTGTCAAATTCGCGGGCGATTTAATATTAGTTGATTCATGAAAATGTTCTCTAGCTTGAAGACACTTTTTAACAATACCGTTCGATTGTTCAAATGACTGTGTGTGAGTAATGGATGTGTTAATGGTGTCTTCAGTGTTAGAACGACCGAATCGTGAAAGACTTTGTTGCCTCATTCCTTTCAACATTACCCTTATAAACTCAGTGGGTTTCTAGAGTCAACTCAACACGCACTTGCCATTAGGGCTTTCTTTTATTATTATTTTTCTAAGAGTTCATTGGTTTCACTCGTGTTCTTGTTTTATTAAACACTTGTCGTCAAACAAAAATTCTATATGTCAGTGTCACTATTTGTTCCTCCACGGTTGAGATTTATTTTCACAGCTCCTTTTAATTGAAATAACAAAATAATAATTATATATCAAGTAATATTACTTTTATTCAAAGTCTATTTAATTGCTAAATTAATAAATCTACTATATTCATAATTATCGTTTGCTTTTCGTTTTCCAATTTTTTTTAATACTTTCTCATTTTAAATGTTTAGAATTTTTAAATTAATAAAATTATAATTTAATGTTTTCAAGATTAAAATAATAATAAAAGTAATTAAACAAAATTGTTTTAAATAAAAAATCATAGTTTAATTTGTATAATTAATTTAACATTCTAAGCAAATTCTTTAGAAGAATACAATTACTTTTGGTAATAGTAAAAATTCATCACAGAAATTATTCAATTATTTTCAAAACAATTTTAATAAAATTTCACAAAAGGATTCAATGATTTTAAAACAATTTTAATAAAATTTTTCGAAAGCATTAAATTATTTCCTAAAATTTTGATAAAATTCTTCAAAACAGTTAATTATTTTTAAAAATTGTATGAAAATTTTTCTGAAACATTAACTTATTCTCAAAAGTATCCAAAAAATTCATTGTAAATTTCAATTATTTTCAAAATTTTTAATTAAATTTATTTTTAAAAAATACAGCATTTTCAAGATATTTAAAGAAATTCTTCAAATCTAATATTTACAGAAACTTTAATAGAATTGTTTAAAAGAATTAAATTTTCTCTCAATAATATTGTGATACAATTTAATAATGAAATTATTAATTACGATTATTAATAACCACAATTATTTTAAGAACTTAAATCAAATTCTCATAAAATTCAATTACTTCAAAAATTCAATTTTCAAAATTTTCAATAAAACTTATTTTAAAAAAACTTTATTATTTCGAAAGATTCAAATAAATTCTTAAAAAAAAAATAAAATAAAATTCTTTGCGACAAATCAATTATTATTTTCAATACAATTTTAATAAAATCTCTCGAAAGAATTCAATTATTTTTAGAAAATTTTATGATTTTCAATACAATAATTATTTTAAAGTTCAAAACATTTTAAAAAAAGTAAAAAACATTTTTAAATGTTCGGTTACAAAGAAGCAAAAAACTGTATTTCATTTATTTTAATGTCTTCTTCTATATATGTAAACTAATTTTTAGAAAATTCTTATCACCTTTTTTTAATTATTTTAAATCTTTACTAAATCAAATTTAGATAATAAGTTTTGTTATAACATTATTGAAAAAAAAGGTTTTAAAAATAATTTATTTTCCATAATTTTGAATTAATATGTGTATTTTTCTTTATTTTAAAAGATAATATTTTTGATACCTTTTTATAACAATTTTTATGGTACTTTTTTTAATTTTTGAAACTTTCTATAATTTTCTATTTAAAATAATTTCATTCTTGCATAGGCTTTTATTCAAATTTTTGAAAATAATTAAATTCTTTCCAGAAATTCAATAAAACCTGTATTGAAATTAATTGAATTCCTCTGAAAAATTTTATAGCTTATAAAAATAATTGAATTCATGGACCGGATTTTATAAAAAAATTTTAAATAATTGATTTTGAAAAAATTGAAATTAATAATTCTTAATATTACTTTTTTAAAAATATTTTTAAAAGACGAAAAATTTTTCATTTATACGTACATAATTAAAAAATTTCCATATAATTGAAATTTAGTAAAATTGTTTGAATGTACTTGAATTTTTGGAAAAGAATTTTATAAAAAAATTTTGAAAATAATTGAATTTATGTGAAGGATTTTATTAAAATTTTTCAAAATAATTGAATACTTTCGAGTAATGTTATTAAAATTGTACTGAAAATAATTGAATTTTTGCGAAGAATTTATGATATTTATGAAAATCATTAAATTCTTGAAAATTGTTTCAACGAATTTAATCGAAATTGTATTGATAATAATAAATTAATTTCTTATGTATAATGTTATTAACATTTTTGAAAATAATTGAATTTATATAAAGAGTTTTATAAAAATTTATTAATAATAATAAATTGAATTCTTTCTACAAATTTTATTAAAGTTCTATTAAAAATTGAATTTCTGAAAAAAATTGTATTATTTATGGAAATAATCGAATTCGTTCATAGAATTTTATTAACATTTTTGAAAGTCATTGAATTGTTTCTAAGAATGTTATTAATATTATAGAAAATAAATAATAATAATAATTAATTAATTAAAAGGTTAAGTTTTAAAATTTTGAATCTGAAATTATTTAAAAATTGAAGTTTGATATTTGAAAATAAAAAATTTTGTAAAATAAACCAAATACCACGTTTCGTGCGTAACTTCTGCCAGTAAATAAATAATTTGAAAATAAAATAAAAATAGGTATAATTTTTAAACTTCATAAAGGTAAAATATTTTTCATTAAAATGAAAATTTATTTATTAAATATCAATAATACAAAACAAACGTTTAATTTATCAAAAGAAATAAAGAAGAAAATGATTCTGAATAAAATAAAGCGAAGAAAAAAATGAAATTTGGGCAAAATCGAATGGATTTGGAATAAATTAGTTTTTTATCCTTGCTTCTAAAAATAGTTGACCTTCAATTTATTCTTTTGCAATATATGGACATTTAAGGCGAACAAAACGTTAATTATTTTTCTATTCGTGAAATATATTTTTTTAATCGGTTTTGAATACTATAGAACAATAGGTCAATGTAAAATCGAGAATATTGAGCCTTCGGGAAAAAATACAAAGGTTACCTGACAAAATTAAAGTGGGATAGTACATGAGAATTGACATTTCCAATCTCTGTAATAGTGTCAGAGAAAAATAAGTTTAAAAAAATAGAGAGCAAGGTTAAGAAATATTCAAAGGCACCAATTTCAATCATTTCAATTTCATTGCGAAATTTTTTTCTATTAAAAAAATAGAAGAAACAAACTAATTGTCAATTTAATTTTTATTTTAATTTTAGAAAATAGAAGGTGAAAAAATATTTCAGTAGACGAAATTTGACAATAATTCCTATATTACTACCAGAAATTAGAATAGAATTCTCCAAACTCACCAGGAATATTAATTTTGATTAGGAAAATTTTCCACATTCGAACAAAGCGATTAATTTAATTGCTAATTATCAATTAGCATTTGAAATTAATTCCAATTTACAATTCGCGTCTGATTCAATTTCGAATTTGAAATTCATGATTCGCATTCGTGAAAAATATTCAAAAGGACAAAAATTAATCAGTCTTTGAATTAGATTTAAATCTACTTTTTGAATTTAAATCGACTTGGTTGTTTAATTTACTTTTCTTTTTTGCTTCTCGAAAAATGAACAGGAAGCAAAGGGAAAAAAATGAAAAGATAAACTAACAAGTTGCTCTTGAAAATCTCAATTTCCTCTCGCGCCACAAAAGTTTAAATCACTTTCTCGTCTATCTACTCTCAAAATCAAACGATTTCTTCGTGAATTGAATTGAAAAAACTTTGGTCTCATTGACAAGAATCGGGTTAAGCTTCATCCATTGCCGCTCCTTCATCACTTTAATCAACCCTCTGCACCTATATAGATTGCTATATATCTATATCTATAATAATTATGTAGTTCACTCCACGTGTATGCGACGACGACGACAACTATAACCGACTTGCTTTCATGGTTCGTTGCATTTCTATTTAGCTGTCTGCGTTTTCATTCACGCCCGCGTTTATAATATAAT